GCGCGTCGACGTCTCCGCCGTGCGCGCGTCGGCGCTGCCGCCGCGGGCGGGGCCGCGCGCCGCCTCGGGGCGCCCAGCGCAAGGGCATGGTCCAAGGGAACTCCGCCGCGCGCCGGAGCCCCGCCTGGCGGCCGCTGGGGCCGGGCCCTGGCCTCCTCCACCTCCTGCGCCTGCTCCCACGTGTCGCCCTTCCTGGCCTCCTCCTGTTCTTGCTCCTGCCTCCTCCTCAGCCTGCTCCTCCTCCTCCCTCCTCCCGCCGCCCTCCGCCCTTCTCGCTCCTCCTGCTCTCCTGCTCCCCGCCTCCTGTTCCCGTCCTCCTCGTCCTCCTACTTTCTTCGGCCCACTCTCCGACCTCCACTTGTCCTCCCGACGCCGTGGAGCCCCCGCCTCCAACGGCTGCCTAATCCTGTAGGACGCGGCGCGAAGACGGGCGCGGCGCCACCCCCCAGGTGACTGCTCGGCGTAGGGCGTGACGGGGCAGGCGGAGGAGGGCGCGGCGCGCCTCCCTTGCATCGTTGGCCCACTCCTGCTAAGGTGTGGCGGCGCAGCGGAGGCGGCGCGGCGCGCCCCCTCGTACTGTTGGCCGTTGGCCGATCCAGTGCACGACGCGGCGACGCGGGCAGATTGGGGGCGCGGCGCGCCTCCGCGCCATGCTAAACCACTCTTGCGAGGACGCGGCAATGCATGATAGGAGGAGGAGGAGGAGGAGGAGGAGGAGGAGGAGGAGGAGGAGGAGGAGGAGGAGGAGGGAGGAGGACGAGGAGGAGGAGAAGGAGGAGGAGGAGGAGGAGGAGGAGGAGGAGGAGGAGGGAGGAGGAAGGAGGAGGAGGAGGAGGAGCTGGAGGAGGAGGAGAAGGAGGAGGACGACGCGGACGAGGAGGAAGAGGAGGAGGAAGAGGAGGAGGAGGAGGAGGAGGAGGAGGAGGAGGAGGAGGAGGAGGAGGAGGAGGATGAGGAGGAGGGGGAGGAGGGGAGGAGGGGGAGGAGGAGGAAGGAGGAGGAGGAAGAAGAGGAAGAGGAAGAGCAGGATGGGGAGGAGGAGGAGGAGGAGGAGGAGGAGGAGGCGGAGGAGGTGGAGGAGGAGGAGGAGGCGGAGGAGGAGGATGAGCGGCGGAGGACCCGGCGGTGGCCACGACGACGACGATGATGATGACGACGACCACGACGACGACGAAAGTACTGCCGCTGCGGGCTCTTACGGACATAAATTTCTGAATGGTCCCCCCCGCCGCGCCGCCGCCCTCGCGGCACCCTCGGCGCCTTCGGAAGAGGCGCGAGGGAGGCAGGAGGAGGGAGGCGGGACTGTCGGCCTTCGGCCCGCGGCGATCACCGTGTTGAATCGTCAGCCCGCGACGCCCCCCCCGCCTGGGATGGGAGCGCCTGGGAGAGCCCTGGGAAGGCCAAGGCTCGCCAGGGGGGGCCTTTGGCCAATCCGAATCGTCACCTCCGCCGCTCCGAATTGTCCGCTCTCGGGCCCCCTGGCAGCCCAGACGGCCCGGGGGCCAACCCGAATCGTCAGCCCTCCGTGGGCCGAGTTCCTCGGCTCGCCATTCTGTGGGCCGCGGGGCTGGCGAACCTTCTGGTCACGCCCCATCTGATGTTTTTCTGCATGTCTTTAAACAGCCGTCGATCTCCAGTCGAGAAATGAAGCAAGGGGTGGTCGTTTTTATTGCGTGAATCTCGCCTTATCGCCGCGCGCATGCGCCGAGCACGGGGGGGCGCTTATCAAAAAGGGGTCTCGCCGAAGAAATTCACACAACCAACACAAGAAGCTCGAACATATGTAACACTTGCACGGATGACGGGCGGTTGAATTTCGAAATGGAACTCCCGCTTAAGACTGCCTTCAGGTTCATGACCACAGCTGTCAACGTGGGCAACGTTTACACAGGTCGGGAGCGTTTCAATGTCAAAACGAGGACTTCAATCACTAACGCATTGAACTGTATGATCATACCTTTCCGCACGATGTAACACATTTCCTTTTCAGGATGGGGTTTATCGCCTGAAGGGCCGTCCCATGGGGTTCTGGTATTCCAGGGGGGCGCTTTGTGTAGATCTAAACAGGGGCTTGGGACGGGATGTTTACTCTGGTCATCCTCCTCCCCCTTCCCTCCATCTCTCTTCCGCCGCTTTCTTGCTTGCCTAACTTCGGCAACTCTGGTCGATAGTGAGGGCGGGGCTCTTCCTGACTGGAAGCAATGTCCTCCTTTCCCGTCCCCCTTCGCACACCACATCCTCCCGCTTCTCCTTTTGCTTCCTCCTTAACCCTCCCGCTCTCCTCGCTCCGCCTCCCTTCTCCTCCACCTCCACCCCCTTCATCCTCACTGCTCGGTCCTCTTTCCTCGTCCTTTTTCTTCCTCCTCCTCCTCCTCCTCCTCCTCCTCCTCCTCCTCCCACTACTCCCCCCCTCCTCCTCCCTCTTCCCTGCCCCACCTCCCCCTCCTCCCTCCTCCCCCCCTCACGCTTCCTCCCCCTGCCTCCCCGTCTTCCTCCTTCTACCTAACTCCTGCTCGTCGCACTGATCTAGTAGATGTATGCGCAAGGCGGGCCAAATGTTTCGCCTGAGACTTCATCACCGAATACCGCGTTTTCAAATGTGGCGCCCGCTTTATGGCCAGGCACACTCGTCTTGAACGTATCCAAGGATGGACGGCGGGTTGGTGGCTTACCATAGCGCCGCGCACATTCGTCTTACACGCTTCCAACAACTTCACGTGTGGGAGGAGGGTGGGTGGGTTTCAAGATGCTTGACGCTCTGCGAGAACCTCCGACAAAGATCAACGCCCTCAGACGATCCTAACACGTCCGAACACGTGGTTTAATGTCCGACCACATGCGAACAACCTCGGGCGCCTATGGCAACTGCCAAGTCCTCTGATCGTTTCCAAGGGCCTTCGAAGACGTCCGAAGACCCTCGGGAAGTAACATCTCAGAACCTCAGATGGGCTCCACGCGAGAGTGACCCTAGGCAAGAATGACCTTTGGTGCGCGGTCTACCGGGGGACGCGGGGGGGCCAAACCCGAGCGCGCAAGACGCCTGCTATCGCACCACACTCGGCGATCGGGAGGCCCCAATCGGCGCGCACCAAAAGGCCCTCCGGCGAAGGGTCACCCTTACGTGTACAGTAGGAGCTGGACCACAAGAACCACAAGAAACCCGACCCCGAGACCCCAAGACGTCCATAGATGTTTGGTGCGTGTTCATCACGCTTTCCACAGCAGAACCATCGAAACCCAAGAAACCAATGGCACCCTGGAGGCAATCAGGGTTTCTTGGCATGGGCTTCCACTGCAATCGATCAGAGATCGTCCAGGAATGTCAGAAGAAGTTCGACACCCCCCAAGAGCTTCCCCAGACCTCCGATGCTGTGCTCTTCATCAATCCTGGGGAAACCAGAAGGTACCGATACCGCTGCTCCCCAGACCTCTCGCGGGGTGCGCTCTGATTTGGATTTCGAGGCGAATTTAGCGGTGGCGACGAGAACCTTCGAGGAAGCCCAAAAAGGGGAAATAGGAGAAGAAACAGCGGCATACACATAAACTCTTGGCGCTGCGCGCGGGGCCCCCCTCCCTGGCGCGCGGAGCGCGCCAGGGGCGGCGCTGGAGGCGGCGTCAGGGGGGCCCAGCGCGGATCCAAGAAATCCGCGCGGAGCGCCATCAATTTATGTTTATGACGTTTCTCTTCTCTGGACCAAATGGAAAACGAGGAAAGGGTAGAGGTATGGGTTCCTTTTTCCTCCTCTGAAGTCTGTGCCCCTCTCTCCCCCCTGGACCGCTCGCGACCCCTTCGCGGGGGCTGGCTGTTCGTCCTGGTTGTGTGTGTGTGTGTGTCGCCTTTTGCGCCCCAGGCCCCACGGCTGCCTCTGGAACATCCGAGCTCGAACCAACAGCACAACCCGCCGACGCCGACGACGCCGACGCCGACGTCCGTCGCTCTGCCGCCACCGCCACGGCGGCGCCAGCACAGCCAACGGCGACGAAAACGAAGACGCCGCCGACGACGACGCCTGCGCCCGAAAACACCACGCCGACGCCCACGACGACGACGCTCCCTGCTGGGGGGGCGGCCTGGTGCTCGGCGAACATGCCGTCGTCCTGCCACCGAAGGGGGGGGCCCCAGCTCCTCCTCCTCCTCCTCCTCCTCCTCCTCCTCCTCCTCCTCCTCCTCCCCTCCTCCTTCTCCTCCGCCGCCGCCGCCGACGAAGATGAGCAGCGAGCGGGTGAGTCGGGTACGTCCGAGTTCTGGCCTGCGTCACGCAGCTGGGAGGTGGAGACAACAATGACGACGACTGCCTCGCCCCCAAAGCAGACAGGCAACTTCCGGATGCCAGCAGGAGGGGGAGGGGAGGGGGGGAGGTGTGGTCCGGGGGGAGGGGGGGAGGGGAGGGAGGGAGGGGAGGGGGCAAACCAGGTGCGCTCGCGTCATATCTGACGTCCTATCCCTCCCTCCCATCCCTTACCATGGCGCTGATTTTCTCTATCCGCGGACGCGTGTCGTAGCAGACCTGTGGCTCCGCGCGCGCGTGCGTAGTGGATGGTGGTGCGCGTGCGTGCGTGCGTGCGTGTGTGCGTGGTTGTGGTGGTGGTGGTGGTGTGCTGGTGGTGGTGGTGGTGGTGGTGGTGGTTGTGGTGGCGGTGGTGGTGGTGGTGGTGGTGGTGGTGGTGGTGGTGCGGCGCGGTGGTGGCGGGCGGATGGGCGCGCGAGAAAAAGGCCCGCGCTGGGGCGAGAACGCCATCCTGAACGACGGAGGCCAAACACCGATCCGAAAATGAGGCCAGCGCTGCAGCGGGAGCACGATTCGGAACGATTCGGGAGCAGAAATGAGGCCGGTGCCTCAGCGAGAGCAGCATTTTGAAAACAAACGCAAGCGAAAACCCGTTTCCCGGGAATCCTGTGTGTAAAAAAACAATACGCGGGGGGGTGTCGGATATCTTCGGGACGCCATCAGGGGAAGTGGGAGAGTATTTTCATATTGTGTAATTGTGGAGGGCTCCTGGTTCCTTCGCCTGCTCCTCCTCGCGCAGCTGCAAGCGCCGCGACACTACGCACACACAACACTCACGGCGGGGGGTTACTGAGATCTTTGCGCCCAAGAAAATTTCGGGGCCTGGGGCCATCGCATATCTGCCCTCGACGGCAACAGCCGACCACAGAGTTGCTGACGAGCACCTGTAACGACACAGCTCACCCGTGCGCCGTGGGCAGGAGGGGAGGCGTTTTTCCTCCTCTCCATCACTCCTCCTTTTCCTTCTCCTGCGGCAGAGACACTTTTTCGAAAACGGTTAAAAAACGGCCCTGCCGTTTCCAGGGCCCACTAAGCTCCTGCCTCCCCATCCCTCCTCCTGTCTTCCTGGCCGAGGTCCCTGAAAAAAACGGTGAAGGCTTCAAAAGGACCCTGCCCCCCTGCACACCAAACCGTCTCGGGTGGGCAGCGAGTCACGGCCGACGCGGTCTTCTCACCGTTCCTTACGCTATTTGGTTGGGAAGACATTGTCTTTTTACTGTCCTCAATCGTCCTCCCCAACCCTCCTCGTTTTCCTTCTCCCCGTCCTCCTTCCCCCTCCGCCCCCTGGCAGTGAACAGAAAACGTGGCGCGGGAGCCAGCCCTGCATTCAGGCCTCTCAAATGTTGACTTTGTAGATCCTTTTGCTTTCAATCAACTTCCGCATCAAAGACCAACTTGAAACCCTACGACAATGAAAGACGACCAAAGACAAAAGAACTGGCCCGGAAAACATTTATGGAACGCCTCTGGTCACTGCGGCGAAGATCTGAGTACGAGAAGCGATAACACAATTAAGTCGAACCATCCTCCCGATATCTTGCGCTCACTTATATCCGTATCCTTCCAACCTGCCCGCTACGAGTGACAACACCTGCTCGACTTTTGGAACTGTGTGCTTGTATCAAGCCGTTCGAGGCGAATTATGTGAACTATCATGCGTGCACCATCCTACACCCCTAACGGTCTGATAAACTAGATGCAATACTCGGAACGCTAACACATGGGAACCGACGACTCCAAGATAAACGGAATTCCATGAACTCAGGAAGACGGACGGGCATGGGACACATGGCGCCACTTGACAACGAACCAACCAATGCGCAGAACTGCTGCTGCACATGCCGCTCTCCGCGTGTTGCCACAACTCCACGCCAGCACATTCCTGGGGAGACGTACGGCTCGGGTTCGGGGGACTCGGGTCGGCCTGACGGGGCCGTCATGAGAATGACGAGACCCAGCCTGAAATGTGACGGACCCCCCCGCTGCAAACATCCCAGGACAACAAAAACTGGACCACCAAAATCCAGGACGCTCTCGTCAAAAAGCGTCCGCAAACCCGAATTCAGGCGCACTCGAGTCTATGCAAGCGCGTTCCACTACTCGCGAAGTCACTACTCGCAAGTGGCCTGTATCCGCCGCGGGGGATTTACGATCAGCTTTATATCGAGGAGGGCATGCTTTTCTTTCCGATGTTTGCGAGTAGGCACTTCAAGAGCAATGGGACGCGCTCGGTGAGGAGCCTAGCTAGAAGAAGAACAAAACAAACGCCATAAACAGAATATTTGGGCGCTCCGCGCGGATTTCTTGGATCCGCGCTGGGCCCCCCTCCCTGGAGCGCGCAGCGCGCCAGGGGCGGCGCCGCAGGCGCCGCCAGGGGGGGGGGGGGCAACCCGGGTCCGAGAAATCCGCGCCGAGCGCTCAAAGTTTCTGTTTACGGCGCTTTTTCTTCTTCGCCTCACGTCCCCGACACTTCCACGGCTGCAGCCCGCCGAGCCGGCCCCTCCCCGCCCGTGCCGGCACGGAGACGTAGCTGCCTCTGCCGGCCTCCCTCCCGGCCCCTCCGCTGCGAAGGAGGGGCGCCGCCGCCCCCCTGATCTCCCCACTGCGAAGCCGCCGCCTCTCGCGTGTGCAGCAGCGTGCGCCCGAATCGCGCTGCGAGCAAGGTGGGCGTTATCCTATTCGGCGCGTCGACATTGGGCATAAGGGGGGGGGGAGCGTTGTCTTACTCGGCGTCCCGACATTGGGCGGAAGGGGGAGGGGAGAGGGGGGGCGTCTGGCTCCGGACCTCTACGCTTGGTGCGACTGTTTGCAAGAGTGCGGCCTCTGGAGGAGACTTCGCCTGCGTGAAACAGGCGCCCAAAGCAGCCAAGATCTACTGCAAGGGTGGGAGGGGGGGGTACGAGGGCCCGCGCCGATCGGTGAAACAATGCATAAGAGAACGTTCACAAGGCCCACCGCTAGAATATGTCCACATCCACCGCTTCGGAGTCGTGCCCTGGCATCTCGAGCGGCGGATCTGGACATCTGCCCGCCCGCGTCGGCGGGCAGATATCCGTATCCGTCGCTCCCCGCGTCCTCGGGACACGACCCAGCAGCAGTGGACATGGCCATATTCTGGCGGCGCACAAGCTGCAAGGTGGCCAGTCGGCGAAACACCGTGGGCACCGCTGTGCGTGCACATGTCTCAGAACAGGGACAGGGCGGACTCGCGCGGAACGAGCGCCGTGTCCGATTGGAGGCCGACCCGCGAGGCGTGGAGAGAGCGGGGCACTGCCCTCGGGTGTTGCTGTACTCGGCAGGATCATCCTTGCATTTGATGCACGTGGCGTTCTTGCGTACACGTGCACAAACAATGCGCAACGGTGAACACTCTATATCATCATATTGGCGCCAACTACTTTCACACGATGGTGCAAACGCGGGGGGGGGCACTAACACGGTGGCATACACATGTTTCCAACACGTGTAAGCGAGGGTTGGAACGCACCTCTATGACACAAATGACAGTTTTTTCCTCATCTAACCATATCGTTGTTGTAAACTCTGCAGGCTAAGCGCTGTGCGTACTTTATGTATGCACCTGCTGTTGAACGAGATCACAATTGCGCCGTGCCTCGCGCCGATTGCTCTACGTGTAAATTTCGCGTGCGTGCAATCATGTTGCGTACGCGGCCGGTAAAGCGCGTAGGATGCGAATGTGCGTTTACGGTGTATGTGCAGTGCGAATGTGCGTGTGCACTTTAACTGGTGTGCTCGCGCGCGAACGCACTGAACGTGTGTGTGTGTGTGACTGTGTGTGTGTGGGTGGGGTGTGTGTGTTTGTTTGTGAGTGTGCGCGTGTGTGAGTGAGAGAAAGTGTATGTGTGTGTGTGTGTGTCTGTGCGTGCATGAGACATACACACACGCACGCACACTGCGTGTAAACAACATGCCGTTCCCATTCACGTCGGTGGCGTGCCCTGCACCTTGTCCAGGAGCCGAATCTGTGTTTGCATGGGAATTCTAATTCGGGCATGCTTTCAAACGCATGTAGCATGTGCACACGTAGCGCGGATGCATAAAATACAGCGCCCGATTGGGTGTAGTGGGCACGTCCAACCCAGACCTACACGTAATATGCAATTTTCGCAAGCTGTCACTTTGCACGTGTAAGGTGACCTGCATGGCCTACGGCGTCAAAAAATTCGTGCGTCGCCCACGCCTGTCGCCCACGAGCGCAAAAAACCAGGCATCGTCGGACACAACTGGAATCCGTCGCCGCACTTTCTCGAGAGGGACTTACTACAATCTGAGGCCGGAACAAGGGACAACGTCACAATTCATGCCGGCCCGCCCAGGCATTTTCCTGCTGCTGCTTCAGCCGCTGTTTCTATTTATGCTTCAGCTGCCGTCATCAGGCCGCTCCGTCTGGCTCCAATGCGGAAATCCGCGCGCATGCCTCTCAACTGCCGCGTCACTCGAACTTGTTTGTCGGCGGCAAGGCAGAGTTGGCTGCACAAGTGCTAGAGCTAGATGGGGGCACCGGAAGCGAATCGGCCAGCATGTAAGGATGCGTTGCTCGAACGTGCAACGTTCTAGCTTTATGCTGCTCCCATCGTGCTTAAGGACCACATCCCAGAAATAATTCCGAGCACCTGGGAAAGTGTTGAAAGAGTGTCGGAACAGGGTCGGTCGAGTGTCTCCCAAGGCCTGACACGTGAAAACCCTCGAGTGTCGGTAGGTACTTTTTTGGTGCTCGAAGGTCTTTTGGGTTATCAAGGCTCAAGTAGGTTGGGACATCATAGCTCTAGCTGAGATCTGCTGGTGCTTCCTCCTCGCCCATCTCCGTTTGGCCCGCCCAGCCGTGGCAGCGGGCGCCCTCCCCGACGGCCCAGCGAAAGGAGGAAGGGGACTCCCTCTTCGAGAGCGGGGTCTCGCCTGCATCCTCTCTTGTCGCCTGGCTCAAGGCTCAAGGCTCAAAGTCCTGTCAGGGTGGCCCGCGAGGGGCAGGACTCTGTATGAACCTGTGTGAAGCCCTCAGAGGTCGAACTGCGCCTTCGTTGCCCAGCAGGCAAATTCACGAGTCAAGCTTTGCCGGGTCTCCTCGTTGCCGGCGGGAGACTGCCATCCATCCCCACTCCTCGTCTGACTGCGTCCGTGCGGTCCCCTGCGCCCCCCCTGGCCCTCCAGGTCGTTGGCGCGGGCGGCGCGGACGGCGCAGATGACGCCTGCCCTCCCCGACCCTCCTCCCTCCTCTCCCCCGCGACGGGGGGCAAAGCAAGACGTGCTACCACGCGACCGTGCACGGCACGCTGCACGGCCAACCTCGGCGAACACCCGCTGACGAGAGACCGCCGGGAGGGGCGAAGAGGGGGCCGCGCGCAGCTCCAGGGAGGGCACCGGCAGAGAGCCAGGCCCCTGGAGGCAGCACAGAGTGACGGGCCTGCTTTCCACCGACACCACCAGAAGTTGGAGGGGTAGGGGGTCCTCCTCCTCCTCCTCCTCCTCCTCTTCCTCCTCCACCTCCTTCCCCCCTCCAACTTATGGTGGTGGTGGTGGTGGAAAACAGGCCCATCACAGAGGGCCCCGACACTCAGCAATGTGGCGGGGCCTCGGCAACGAGAAGGGCCGCCGAAGAAAGCGCCACCCAGCCGGAGCCACTGAGGCCGCAGGCAGGGCCTGCCCCTCGAGACGTCGGTGCGAGTCCTCCTCGCCAGAGGGCCGAGGCGCCGCGGCGAGAGGATCCACGTCCTCCTCACCGTGGGGAGACTCTGCCACCAGCCTCAAGGATTATCCGGTGCTCTGGCCCGAGCTGGCAGCCGCGATGCAGGCGGGAGCGGTGGTGAGGGCATCTCCCGCAGGTGCAGTGGCACGCTCACCCTGCAGCGCGAGGTGACTGTGATGGGGGCACCTCCCGAAGGCACAGTGCCGCGCGCACCCTGTGAAACCCTGTAACGCGAGGCGATCCCCTCCCGAGGTTGTCGACCTGCCCTTCAGTGGCGTGATACTTGCAACTGAAACGCATGACGAGGGTATTTTCGTCATCATTCTACTCAAAAACACTTGGCTTGTACCCGTCCTCCCGCCAATTCACACCCGTGAGTCCTTGGATCGACGGGGACCCGCGGCAGAAACCACCACGTGTGCGTGAGACACTGCGCGTCGCCTTCCAACAACCGGAGCACAAACAACACGCCCTTCAGAGTGCCAGTCGTGCCGGGACCTCGGGGAGCTCATGACCTAGCTTCAGGTCGGGCATGTCCTCCAACAGGCGGACTTTGGATGAAACTCAGAACATAGTCAGAACATACCCCAAAACATGAAAAAAGTCTAAACATCGTCCCCATACTATTTTTTGTGTGTGACTATTTTTGTACATTCCTCCTGTAGACGGACATGTCCAATTTAATCATAGCTTTTGGACGTTCATCTTGATCAATTCAAGCGGGCCTCCCCCTCTCGCGACCCTTTACTTTGAGAGGATGACCCCCCCCGCCTGACCCAGCACTTGGAACACGAATCCAACTAAAGGAGCGACGATCGGACAGTTTGGCCTTGACGAGTTCCTGGGCCTCGCGGGCAACATTTTCTCAGATAGCTCGCAGAGAGCTAAGAAGGTTTCATGTTAAGAAGCCGGAGCCAAAGGTAGCCCTAGCCCCGGAGCTTGTTCCGGCTTCCGGCTTCCGGCAGGACACCTCGGCGCGGCTTGCTGGGCCTCGCAGCGGGTCCCGAGGTGCCTTTTCTGAGCGTTTCCCAACGCGCGTGCCCGGAAGCTCGCCAGACGGTCCTTCGGAAGCTGTCCAGGTCCTTCCAGAGATCTTCGCCAAGCCTTCGCACGCCCCCTCCTGGCGCCCCGCTATCCGGGGTTTGGACCCCGCAAATTAACAATCAGAATTGATCGGGGACCCGTCGGCTTTACACTGTAGGCCGCGAACTCAGCAGGCTGTGGCGTCTCGGGGGAAAGTGCGTGAGCCAGGCCCCGCATATAGCAGCAGGATGGGCTCCCCGACCATCTACGAGGACCACAGACCACCCTGCCCTGGAGACCTCTGGAGAGACCACCCTGACACAAGAACCATCCACGAACATGTGCCCTTTGAAGTCAGTGAGGTCGCACTGAGGGTCATCCTGCCATTCGCTAGAATCCACTGTCAGGTCCAGCAGCTGCAGGCATGGTGTAGCACACACAATTGCTGGGGTTCGATTCCACCGTGAGGTCCTCTGGAAGCTTTCGGTTATAGTTCTTTCCCATATTCAGCTCTTTCTTGTTCATAGTTCCTCCCCAAGCATTCAACTCTCTCTTGTTCAAACGGCAAGGCAGAACCGCAACCAGTGCAACATCGCGTCATTGGCAGGCCCGCGCAAAGGGCAAACGCAATCTGCCATCTGATACCCCGACGCTCGAGCTCGCGACGCGGTCCACACCGCGTTTCAGCATACCGATCTGGTGCACCCTATGGTATGGTGTGAACCTGCGCTTCTATAGCGTGGCGTATACTGGGTCGTGGTAAACGGGCTGTCCAAGGTGAGGTACACTCTTGTCGCTGACCTTGCCTCATGGAGGCGCAGAGCGACACGGTGGAGATGCCGTTCAAAACAAACTGGAGAAACGAAGGTCAGCGGGTACCCGACTCCGTGCTGATCCACGACCGTGGTGAAAGATGGCCTACTTCATCATGCAAGTGAGAAACTAAGCTTGAGCGCCGAGGGGCCCCGAAACTTGCTCCCAAGCGTTAGTCCTCAGGCCCCCCTAAACCCGTCTCCAAGCCCTGAAGGCAAGCAGGGTGTTTCTTGGCATGGGTTTCCATTGTATTAGAACTAGAACCACGCGCGCGCTTCGCGCGCGCTTAGGTTCTAGTCGACTCCGGAGACGGTGTCGATTTCCATGGGACCTTTTCCATATGGTCTTCCGGGTTCCTCCCTTTCACCCATGCGTGATTTTCGGGCGGATACTGCGAAGTTCAAGGAAGGGTTTGGCCTGTAGCGTACCAGCGACGACCGACGACGACGACGACGGACTACCGACGATCAGCATCATTGTCACCTGATCCACGTGTGCGGGAGAGGCGTTTCTGGAGCATCCTGCGGGCGTCATGGGGGCGTCCTCGGGCCTCGACATTGGGTGGGCGGGTCGGGGGGTGCAGCCAGGGCCACGTGTTCCGAAGGGCTTCTGGCGGGCTTCTGAGGGTCTGTGTAGAAGCCTCCTGCGAGCTCGGTGGGGGTTTCTCTGGAGAGTCTCGGGTCTTTCTGGAGCTTTGTTGGTGGTTTTTTGGGGCGTCGTGGAGGCCTCCTGGGAGTCTCTTGGGGCCTCCTGGGGGCCTCTTGGGGCAGAGGGCGCCTCTGTTCGGGCATTTGGGGGGCTCTCTGGAGCCTCCTGGGAATATCTTGGGCCAGCTTGGGAGCCTCTGGGAGGGTCCGGGGCCCCTTCTAAACCCTCTTGGAGCCCTCAAGGCCCCCCCAGCCCCCCATGCGAACCAAAGGTCGCAATTCTGGGTCCATCCCGCAACCGTGTCTGGGTTGTGGGTTAGAGGCTTCTCGGATGTTCGCTGGGATGATAACTATCGTGGGATGCCTCTCGGGGGGCGTTTTGGAAGCAGGTTTGAAGCCTCCACGGGGGCGTTGTGGAGCTTGTCGGACCTCTCTTAAGCATCGTTGGGGCCTCTTTGGAGCCTCTTGGAGCCACTTGGGGGCCTCTTGGGGCCTCCTGGGGGTCTCTGGGGCGGGAAATTCGAAAGGTCGGGTTGCGTTCCCTCTCTTGGGCCCATCTTGGAGCCGTCTTCAGGCCCTCTTCAGGCCCTCTTGGGCCGTCTTGGGGGCCTTTTGGGGCGACGTTGGAGGCTTCTTGGGCAGTCTTGGAGTGTCGGCCGCTCGAAAACGTGAGAAGCAACAAACAGTGGAACACACACAATGAACATCTATGATTTTGGCGTCTTGGGGCTCTCTTCGAGGTTCTCGCGGAGCGACCTTGGGGCATCTTGGGGGCCTCTTGGGCCGATCATGGGGCCATCTTGGGCGGCTTGGAGCGCTCTTGGGCCGTCTTGGCGGCTTCTTGCCGTCTCCAAAAGCCTAGGTGGGCGCCTCGGGGAAGCGGAACAATTTCTGGGACTCCGAACACAGGCCCCTGGATGCCCAAAAAGGCCCCCGCGGTCCAGGGGGCAAAGTCGGTTGCGGGGGGGGGGAGTCTGGGAAAGGTGTGCGACCCTGGGCCGCGGGGCCCCGCGGACGCTGCTCATATCATATACGCCCTCGGTGATTCTCTGCAGGCCTGACGCCTTCCGAGCTTCCCGGGAGAGCCCGCCCCTTCTGAAGGGGCCCCAGGACACACAAATAAATACACACAAATAAAAAGATTCCCCATATTTCCATATATTTTCTGGGTTTTTGTCTTCCCTCCCCATCTCACATATTTTCCCATATTTTCTGGGGAATCGACGATTAATTGTGTCTGTGTGTTTTTTTTTCCCTCCTGACCTTCCTACTCCCCCCCCGGGCGCGCTGCCGATGGTCGACGCGGGCGGACAGGCGGCGCCACACCGCACCCGCTGCGGCGAGGGCGACCGCCGGGCAGCACGCGCTGGCCGCGACGACCAGCGGTGGCGAGGTGGCCCTGGGAGGGGCTCGAAGCACAATACAGTCGGGGCGTTGACTTAAGGAACGATAAATAAGGAACGAGGCCCCTTCTTTCCTTTTTCCATTCGAACACCGAAGGTCAAACTAAGGCAAACAGTCAAACAACCAAGGAACACGGAGCCCCTCCCAAACGAAAGAGGTCCCTTCTTCAGCGCCCCGACTGTAGGAAGGAACTCGACCACAAGACACCTTCCACAAGAGGCCCAACACCGAGACCCCAGGACGTCCACCGATCTTCGGCGTGGGAGCGTCACGCCTTCCATCGGGACACCCTCGGAACCCAAGAAACCCAGGGCACCCTGGAGGCAAGCAAGGAATTTCTTGGCATGGGTCTCCACTGCAAAGCCAGGTCGTCTGGCCGGCCAGCGCACCTCGGCGCGCAGACGCCCCAGCTTCCCGACCTGTGGGTCGGGTCGTACACCGAAACCCTTCGCCAGTCTCTTCGGCTCCTCGGCTGGCCAAGCGACATGCTGTGCAGCCTCGAGCCGCTCCGAAACCCCAAAACGCTCCCTCCTGGCTTCGGGGCCATGGCTGCGCTCTCGGGCGGCCACCCTCGGAGCGACGCGGGCGCCCGCGCCGCGCCCATCGGCGGAGCGCAGCTGCCGGAGAGCCCCTCGAGGCTGCTCCTCCTCCTCCTCCTCCTCCTCCTCCTCCTCCTCCTCCTCCTCCTCCGCCGCCGCTTCTCGCTCCACTCTGAGCCCCTGGGGCCCCCCTGGCCCGCGGCGAGGGCGCCCCAGAACCTCGAACCTCGAGTCTGGCGGCGGCGGCGGCGAGCTGCCCCCCGTGGCCCCTCCCGCGGCGAGCGCGAGCGCCAGGCAGCACGCGCCCGCGAGCGCCAGGAGGGGCCTCCCGGAGAGCCGGCCTGCGCCTGCGCGGCGCTCGGGGCGCCGCCGGCCTCGCCCGCGCACGTCGTCGTGCTGATCATCGAAGTTCATGGTCGTGGTCGAGGACGCAGTCGTCGTCGTCGTCGTCGTCGTCGTCGTCGTCGTCGTCGTCGTCGTCGTCGTCGTCGTCGTCGTCGTCATCGGCGCCGTCGTCGTGGTCGTCGTCGGCGTCGTCGTCGGCGTCGTCGGCGTCGGCGGCGGCGGCGTCATTGTCGTTGCCGTCTGCCGTCCGTCGTCGTCCTTCGTTCTTGTCGTCGTCGTCGTCGTCGTCGCCCTCTTCCTGCAACTCCTCCTCCTCCTCCTCCTCCTCCTCCTCCTCCTCCTCCTCCTCTCTTCCCAGTTCCTCCCTTCTTCCGTTTCTTATCATTATTTTCATTATGTTTCCTTCTTTTTACCTCATCGTCCCCATCCCTACCGTTTCTCTTTTCCTTCTTTGTTCTCCTCCTCCTCCTCCTCCTCCTCCTCCACCCTCCGCCTCCGCCCATTTAGTCCGCCTCCTCGCTTCTCTTCCTACCTTCCTCCTCGTCCTTGTGTTTGTCTCTCCTCCTCCACCTCTTCACATTCCTCCCCTTCCTCGTCGTCGGGTATAGAAGGTTTCTCGGGGTTCACAAAGACACTGCGAAACGCTCCCCCTCCCGCGAACATGCGGTTGAGGAAGGGGAGGAGGCATATGAAAAACGAGGAGGAGGACGAGGGTCCACAAAAAGACCACGAGGAACAAAAAGAGCCGAGTCGAGCACATGGGCGCCGAACCAACGACAACAAACTAGCAACAACCATCGGGGCAGTCAGGACTGCACCGCTGACGTGGTACCGATGGTGAACACGTGTCGTGTACATGGTTCCTGGGGCTGCGGGCATTCAGATGGTTCACAACAACACTCTGGGAATCAGAAAACGTTCTGAGGACCCCGCAATACGCCCAAACATCCTACAAACATGCGGTGGATGTGGAAGAATTGACTGGAGCGGAGGAAGGGGGCGCACGCGTTTCCAACAACAGAAACGGATGAGCATGGAAGGTCAGGACTGAGTAGCGAAGGAAAACGGAGATGATGAGGACGAAAAAGTCCCACCAGCCCTTTGGGCGTGAGTGGTTTAGCGAGCTTTCTCTGTTCTCAACCCCCAACCCCCTTCTTCCCCTTCGGGGAGGGGTTTACCCCTCCCCCTACCCCCTCCCCCTGGGTCTGGAAAGGGCGGGCCGCGGGTGGTTGGAGGGTTTTTTTTTTTCGACTCCTGGGAGGGCTAAAAAACGACACCCCTCACTCGGATTCTGCCCCCGACGGGGGGACGTAGAAAAACCCTCTCCTCTTCTGTGAAGCCAGAATCATTGATTTTACTACGGTTTCGGCCTCATTTTGGCCTTCTGAGGGGGCAGCGCTCCTCTTCCTTGTTATCAAAACCATTGATTGTACGAAGGTTTTGGGCTCATTTTGTCCTTCTCCGGGGGTAGCGCTCATTTGCGCTTCTGCGGAGGTCGCAAGAGGCCCCCAAGCAAGATGCCCCCAGGAGGCCCCCAATAGGCCCCCAAGAGGCCCACGACGCCCCAAGAGGCCCCCAAGAGGCCCCCAGAGGCCCCCAACAGGCCCCCAAGATGCCCAAAAAACCCCAAGAGGCCCCCAAGAGGCCCCCGAGAGGCCCCCAAGAGGCCCCAAGAGGCCCCACGAGGAGCCCGAACGACTCACACCAGGACGAGGGGCCCGAACGACTCACACCACGAAGAACCCGAACGACTCACACCACAAGGAGGAGCCCGAACGACTCATACCAGGACGAGGCGCCCGACCCATTCACACCACGAGGAGCCCGAACGACTCACACCACGACGCGGGCCTCGAACGACTCACACCACGAGGAGCCCGAACGAGTCACACCAGGAGGAGGGGCAGCGCTCATACAAGCCCCCCAAGAGGGCCCCCAGAGGTCCACCATATGGCCCCAAGAGGTCCCCAGATGGCCCACAAGAGGTCCCCAGGAGGCACCACGACGCCTCCATGAGGCCCCAAAGATACCCCCAAGAGGTCCCCAAGAGGCCCCAAGAGGCGCCGAAGACGCCCCAAGAGGCCTCCGAGCAGCTTCCAAAAAGACATCTACTACTACTTTTTCCCTACGATTACTACTACTTGTACTTCTACTACTACTCATACTCGTTTGACTACATCATCTCGTACTACTACAACTACAACTACTCTTACGACTACTACCATATGTACTCGTACTACTATGAGTCCTACTACTACTAGAACTACTACCACTACTACCACTACCACTACCACTACCACTACCACTACTACTACTACTACTACTACTACTACTACTACTATTACTACTACTACTACTACTACTACCACAAACGCTACTATTACTACTACCACAACTTCCATTCAGACCACTGCTCTCGTGACTGCCTCTGTTACTGAGGCAACTAGTGCGACGACGACGTTGACGACTACGTTTGCTACTACCGCTGATACTGGACATACAACTACTACTACTACTACTACTACTACTACTACGACTACTACGACTACTACTACTACTACTACTACTACTACTACTACTCCTACTCCTACTACTACTAGTACTACTACTACTTCTACTACTACTAATACTACTACTACTTTTAGTACTACGACTACTACTACTACTACTACTACTACTGCTACTACTGTCACTACTACTATTACTACTACTACTACTACTACTACTACTACTACTACTACTACTACTACTACTACTACTACTACTACTACTACTACTACTACTACTACTACTACTACTACTACTACTGCTACTACCACTACCAGTACTACAACTGATCCTACTGGTACTACTTCTACTACTACGACTAGGAGCCGAAGAGGAGGAAGAGGAGGAGGGAGAGAAGGCGATGGGAGGCAAGACAGAAGGCGGTCGTCCTCGAGTCCTACACGTAACCGACTCTGTCGACTCACACGACGGCGACGTCCTGGACCAGAATGCATGTGGTGTGCGTCGTTGGGGCCCCTCGCCCTGGTGTGAGTCGTTCGGGCCCTTCCTTGTGTGAGTCGTTCGGGCCCCTCGCCGAACGACTCACACATCGAGGAGGGGCCCGAACGACTCTGACCAGGAGGGGGGGCCCGAAGTACTCACACCAAGAGGATAGCGCCGAACGAATCCACTGCACCGTGGTAGCGACCACACCCACGGCTCAAACTGCCTGATATCCCAGTGTGGCAAAGTAGCGATACCATTACTGATGCAGCGGTGTATCACAAGGTACTCCCAGTACTGGACGAGGGACTATACACCATCTCAGCCCACTGCCGGGCACCCGCAGGAACCCCGCAATCACCAAGAATAAGAGGCAATAGCGGCGAGTACACTAACCATCACCATCGTCTGAGCAGAATAACAAGCACCAGTACAGAATACAGAAACCAGTACCAGCGAACCCACGAACGGAAACTCAATTGAGGCAACATCCCGTCTCCTCACTCGCTCTCCCCAGAGTCATAGTGGTAAGAAGTGCACTCGACAGTCGTGCAATACAGAGCATACACCATCGGAACCCAATGCCGTACGTGTTCCTCCAACAAATTTATACGGGCGTCCTCAAACGCGTGGCTCTCTTGCCTAGGCGTCTCGCCGAACGACTCCGAGAACGAGGAGGGGCCCGCGCGCTTCATACCAGGAAGGGAAGCTCGAACGACTCTCAAAAAGAGGAGGGCACCGAACAAATCCACTGAACCCAATGAGCGCCCACACCCATTCATGCAACTGCCTGAGCTCCACAGAAGCACCACTCATGGCAGATTGCGCAATGTATCCAAACGTCATCTCACCAATGAACCATCACTGAGTACAGAAACCCGCATTCCCACCAGAACAGGGTAACCAGCACCATCACGGAGTACACTAATCAACACCAGAGAACCAAAGCACGAGAGACTATACACCATCTCATCCCAGTGCTGGACACCCGAAGGAACCCAGCAATCACCAAGAATAAGAGGCAATAGCGGCGAGTACAGTAACCAGCACCATCACCTGAGCAGAATAACCAGCACCATTACATAATCCCACCAGCCTTTTGGGCGTGAGTGGTTTAGAGAGCCCGCTCTGTCCTCAACCCCCCTTCTTCCCCTTCGGGGAGGGGTTTACCCCTCCCCCTATCCCCTCCCCCTGGGCCTGGACATGGAGCCCCGGGTGTTCTCAATGGGGTCTTTTTCGGCTCCTGGGAGGGGCAAAAAACGACGACCCTCACGAGGATTCTGGCCCCGACGGGGGGGCCGAGTTTGGCCCCTCTGCTCTTCTTTGAAGCCAAAATCATTGATTTTACTAGGGTTTTGGCCCCATTTTGGCCTCCTGAAGGGGGCCGCGCTTCTCTCCCCTCATAGCAAAATCATTGATTTTACGAAGGTTTTGGCCTCATTTTGTCCTTCTCAGGGGGCAGCTCTCCTTTGCGCTTCTGCGGAGGTCGCAAGAGGCCCCAAGATGGCCCCAAGAGGCCCCCAGGAGGCTCCCAAGAGGCCTCCAAGAGGCCCCCCAGAGGCCCCCAAGGCAAGAGGCCCCAAGAGGCCCCCAAGAGGCCCCCAAGAGGCCCCCAAGAGGCCCACGAGGCCCCAAGAGGCCCCCAAGAGGAGGCCCCCAAGAGGCCCAGCCCCCAAGAGGCCCCCAAGAGGCCCCCAAGAGGCCCCACGAGGCTCCAAGAGGCCCCCAAGAGGCCCCACGAGGAGCCCGAACGACTCACATCAGGACGAGGGGCCCGAACGACTCACACCACGAAGAGCCCGAACGACTCACACCACAAGGAGGGGCCCGAACGACTCACACCAGGACGAGGCGCCCGAACGACTCACACCACGAGGAGCCCGAACGACTCACACCACGACGCGGGCCCCGAACGACTCACACCACGAGGAGCCCGAACGAGTCACACCAGGAGGGGCCCGAACGACTCACACCACGAGAAGCCCGAACGACTCACACCAGGACGAAGAGC